GAGACGAGAGTCTCGCTTTGTTGCCTAGGCTAGAATGAGTGCCGTGGCGTCAGCCTAGCTCACAGCAACCTCAAACTCTGGCTCAAGCATTCCTTCTGCTCAGCTCCAAGTGGCTGGACTACAGGCATGTGCCCCATGCCGGGCTAATTTTTCTATATAATATATTTGGCCATTAATTCTTTCTATTTATAGTAGAGACGGGGTCTTGCTCAGGCTGGTTCGAACTCCTGACCTCGAGTACCCTGCCTGGCCTCCCAGAGAGCTAGGATTACAGGCGTGAGCCACCGCGCCCGGCCCCATCTGGCTTTTACCACCCTCTTTTTGTTCTTGCTAAGCTATTTCCAGGGCTCCACGTCCTTATTCTCTCATTCACTACTCAACTCACTGCAATCTAGCATCTGTCCTGGCAACTCCAGTGAAAATTCACCAGAATACTAGAAAAGGACTCCAATTCAAATGCCCACCAAGGGCCAAGGAAAGTAACAAGAATGAATATGTGTGGTAGGTATGTGTCACAGGGATGTTCAAGAGGGCAGACCAATGGTACTCAGAGAGCAGATGCTGACCTAAAGAATTTGAACTCAACATGGAACAGGTCAAATAAAGCAAAACCCTATACCTAATTTTTGGCCATGGACATCAGTTTATTTCTGGATAATTGCATGATCAAAGTAAACAAATTTGTTTATAGGGTTGAACACCCCAAATCTGAAATCAAAAATCTGAAATGTTCCAAAATCAGAAACTTTTTGTGCATCATGTGAGATACACACACACATAATAAAAATAAGCTCACTGATGCATTTCAGATTTCAGGATTTGAGATGTTCAACTGTTAAGTTATATGCAAATATTCCAAATCCAAAAATCTGAACTCTAAAACACTTCTGGTCTTAAGCATTTTGGATAAAAGATACTCAGTTGCATACACAAATAGAAGTCATTAACATTTTACCAAGCATACAATTACATTTTACATAATGTTAATTTTTGAATATAGTTATGTTTCAGAAATGAAAAGCATAATTTTGCAAACAAAATACATGATATGCAAGATAAAACTCTGAAATGGTTTACAAGCTGTTTTAAGATCTCAAAACTACCCAATAATGTATGTATAAAATCACATTTTATGAAATGAGATAATTACTTATAGTTCAAATTTTACATCTAGATTGTCTATTATTTTATATCTTATTAACATATATGAATATATAAATATTTCTATATTCATTTGATGTCTCCATCATGCATTTATGGTCTTTTTTTTTTCCACTCTGCACTCAGGCTATAGTGCAGTGGCAGCATCATAGCACACGCCTGACACACTCAAACTCTTGAGTTCAAGCAGATCTTTCCACTCAGCCTCCCGAGTAGATAGGACTACAGGAGCTCACCACCACACCCCAGCTAATTTTTTATTTTTTGTAAAGACAGCTTCTGTTGCCAGGCTGGTCTCAAACTCCTGTCTCAAGCATCCTTCTTGCCATGGCCTCCCAAAAGGCTGGGATTTATAGACGTGAGCCAGGCTCAGCCAGCTTAATTTTTGAAAGAAAACAATCATTTCTAAGATTTTCTGAAATTTAATCTTATTAAAATTTCAGGAATGTTTTGCTGAAACCTCCAATAGACTTTACTTAAGCTAAGAAACAATTTTATTTTTGTATTTATGAGATTTTTTTGAATTCTTGCTACGAAAACATATCATCAGTAAGGTGCTCTATTTCTAAAAAAATGGACAATAATCTAATATTCATCTGAAAAGTATTCAGCTACCTACCTTTTGTTAAAGCTGATCTTTTTTAAGAGACTAAGCTCTAAGTTCATTTTTTTTTTTTTTTTTTTTGGACAGAGTCTCACTCTGTTGCCAGGCTAGAGTACCATGGTATCAGCCTCGCTCACAGCAAGCAACCTCAAAGTCCTGGGCTCAGCGAATCCTCCTGCCTCAGCTCCCAAGTAGCTGGGACTACAGGCATGCGCCACCATGCTCGGCATTATTTGTATATATATTTTTATTGGCCAATTATTTCTTTTATTATAGTAGAGATGGTCTCGCTCTTGCTCCAGCTGGTTTCAAGACTCCTGACCTCGAGCATCCGCCCGCCTCGGCCTCCCAGAGCGCTAGGATTACAGGAGTGGAGTCACGCGCCCAGCAAAGTTCATCTTTTTCAATAGCATACTGATTTTGTCATTAACGTAGCTGAGTGACTTTGGGCAAGATAACTTAACCTCTCCATACCGTTTCTCATCTCTAAGGTCCATAATGGATAGTAGAATTAGAGGGCAACGTTTGAGGAGAAATATACACATGACAACTAATAATAATATGGAATTCTGGATTGGATCCTGGGACAGAAAAAAGAAAGAACTTAATGGAAAACTAGCAAATTCAATGTCTACAACTTAGTTAAAATACTGTTGCAATGTTAATTTCTTAGTTTTATGACGTGTGCTATGGTTATACAGATATTAATAGTTTGAAGACTCTTTCACTGAGTTCTAACACCATCTCGATTCTATCACTAACCTGATTTATGGCAAATAATTACATTTTACTGTACTTCAATCCTTTTTGAAATAGGAAACTGCTTCTCACTGGAAAACCAGTCAACATTTACAAAGAAAAAGATGGCTTAGCTCCTCCCATCTTTTTTTTTTTCTTTTTTTGAGAGTAGGGCTTGTATGTTGCCCCGGTTTTGGTCTCTGCCCATCTCAGCCTCTGGAATAGGTGGGAACTATAGGTACTAAACCAGTCCCAGCTTCCCTCCCTTCTTTTCAATCATACATAAAAATACAGTTACCAATGAATATCATTAAAAATGACAAGTTCTTAATCATTTTCTGCCATTACCGCTATGTACCAAAACTGACTCACACCAAGTTATGGGCCGGGCGTGGTGGCTCACGGCTGTATCAATTAGCACTCCTGGGAGGC